CTTTATATGGAAAGGCAAAGGAACAGAAAGAGCTAAGGCAATTTTTCCAAAAAAAAAAAGTAAATGGGGAAGAATCAATTGACCATATTTTGCATCAATTTTTTAGCTGTAGTAATTAAGTCTGGTAGCTGACTGGATGCATGCATCAATAGAACAGAATAGAGTCCATCGACATACCCTCTTATAAGTATGGACAACTAAAATAATTTAATGCAGGAAGGATAGATTTTATAGCAAATGGTTGAAGTAATTGAACATCTATCAGATGGGGGGGGGAAAAAAAACTTTGACCTAAACCTCATGCTACATAAAAAGAATTTCAAACAGAATATAGATTTCAATATAATATTTAAGACTACAAACTTTTTAAAGAAAATTTGGGAGAAAACTTTCTATGGTTTGATGAACAGTGTTAGATTTTATACCAAAAGCATAATTCCTAAATCAAAGTATTGATAAATACGATTTTATCAACAATCTATGGCTCATCTTGTAAACAACATGTTAGATAAAATATTCATATCTAGAATATCTAAAGAAGACAGAAAGGCAAACTATTTAATTGGGAATGAGCAAAAGACATGAGGGGACATTTCCCTGGAGAGATTACACAGTTCAAACACATGGAAGGAAACTCAACTTCACTTAGTGTCAAGGAAATGCAAATTAAAGACCTTGATGGGCCATCACTACATTCTTATCAGACAGCTGAATTTTTTAAAAAAGAAAAAGAACAATAACAACAACAGCAAAAATCCTGATAAGTTAAGTGTTGCATTCAAGTCAGGCAAACAAAATAGAACCATCCTGTCACATTTCGTGCAGGCAGCACTTGAAAAACAATCAGAGGACAAGGGTAGCCTCTGTTATCCTCAGGTTCTGCTCTCCATGGAGCAGCACCAGGGAACACTCCAGGGGGCATCCAGGCTGGGAGCAATCCTGGAGGAATGGGGGCAGCAGACAAAGCTCTCCCTTTGTTTCTGAATAAGCCCATTTGTCATCTGGGCATGATGACTTCCTGGAAGTGCTGAATGCTTTATTGAGGATATTTCAGGAACAAAAGAGATGTTGTACCCTCCAAGTTGTGTGTGCGAGGTGGGGAGAAATGTTCTCAAAGCTGCTAGGTGGGTATAGGGGATGTCAACTAGGAAATGGAATGTAGGAGACCCTTTGTCCCTGAGGTCAGTCAAATGACGATAACCACCCCTGGCGCCATCCCAGCCTCATCCTGAGCTCTGGGAATTTTCTAACCTCAGAACTCTTGGAGAAAGTTCTCTGCAGCCTGGTGCAGCAGCACCCCAATACAAATGTTCTTTTGAAATCCACCTCTGAGCTGCCGAGCCTACACTGGGCCCATCCAACCACAAATTCCTAGCAGATGTTTAGCACGTGAGTGTTGCCCTCCTCCCTGGATACCTGCAAGAATCCCTCCCTCACCCCACCCCATCTGCTATGAACCAAGCAGGGTGCATTGAGGGTCTGCCCCTGCTCAGGGAGTATAGGGGTACATTGTCCACAGAGAATTTAAAAACCATCGTAAAACTGGCCAAAAGTCAGACCACTTTTTATTTTCATGTCAAATATAAATAATGTCAGTGATAAAATATTCCTCCTGGCCAGGTGGACCACCCTAACACCTCTCCCAGAAACTGGCTATGCTAGTCTTGGCTCCTAGGGGACAGCTAATCTTTCCCATTCCTGTCTTTCCTTCAGCAGGAGACTTCATTCAAATATACGTACCGAGCATGTCCTGCCCGATTTAAAATTCTTGCTTGCTTCCATGGCCACCAGAAGGAATCAACTTCTGGTAGCTTCATGGCTCTTCACCATCAGAATCCCACCTCATTCTCCAGCCTGCCCTGCACCCTTTCTCCCATTTCCTGTACCCCAAGCTCCCAGTTCCTTGAACACACTATCTCATTCTCCAGCTCTGTGCATGCATATGTTGAAGCCATTTCTTTTATTAAGAATTTTCTTTTCAACCTTGAAATTTCCAGGTCCTCTTCCAAAGCCCTGCTGATGAGGTCATTTCTCTGAGGAACCTTCCCTGATTCCCTCCAGTCCACAGGAAGAATCCAGAGCACCTACTATGTGACTCTGTATCATTGCAGATTCTACCTGCTTTGCTTGTATTTCCTAGTTTCCCCTAAATGTTCTCTAAAGCAGAGTAATTCCCAATCTAAAGGTCAAGCCAAAAAAAAAAAAAACAAGGAATTTTTTTTTTTTTTGGCAAACCAAGTCTTAGTAGTTAACTGAGTTACTGTGCCTTCAACCTGTCTTCATAACCAGCTTGCTTTTCAGTTCTTGGCCCCTTGGGCCAAGCATATTTTCTTCTGTCCATATGATTCACACTCTATGAAACCATCAGGGCAAGTGGACCTAGAGCAACTTTGTGGTCTTGCTTTCTCTCTTTCTCCCAGAAGTCACCTCTAAATGAGATGGTCACAGATTTTAGTTCTAAGATACATAAGAAAAAGAGACCCTCCCTTTGGTCTGTATCCCAGCCATATGTCTCAATTCAGTCTTTTACCCAAGAGCACAGAATTGCAGGCAACTGGAAGCAGTTTTAATTACATACTAACTAGATACTTTAACTAGATACTAACTAGTTGTATGCTGACTCCTGCATTGTTCGTTTTTCTATCACTCTTAGTGAGAGATCAGTGGTGAAGGGGTGAACAGCTGGGTGGGATCTGGGCCCTGATGTAAGCCCCAAAGCTGCCACCAACTCCTACCTCTCACCACTGTAACTTACCACAGCCAGTTGTTCACTGTCTCTGCCCTCAGGACATGGTCTCTCTACAAAGACTGAAGTCCTGCTTACTTTCCATTTCATGGGGCCTGGCACATTTAAGCTGCAGACTAATGTCTACTAAAGGGGGACAGCCTCCATGTAGAGTGTCCTCCACACCCTAATGATTCCCAGCCCTGCTGCCAACTCCTGTTTTCTTTGGTCTCTAATCTCCTGTTTTGTTCGGATTTCTGGTCCCTCCCCAGCCCTGCTGGGTGACTCCCACTGACTCTAAAGAGATCACAGTGGTGGGCAGGTGGTATGTGCCTGAAGCCCCAGCTACTCAGGAGGCTGAGGTGGGAGGATCGCTTGACTGAGAGTTCAAGCACAACCTGGGCAACATAAGGAGACCCTGTCTCAAAAGTTAAAAATAAATAAACACATCATGGGTATCCCACCCTCCCAGTGATCCTGGTTAGGGAGTGTCCTAACCACGTCCTAGTGGGAGCCGCAAGTTCTGATCCCTAGGAGGACTCTTGGCCCTTCCTGAATTCAGTCACAGCTGTGGGAGCACAGGAGGCCTGGAACTGCTGCTGCCATCTGTGAGCACAAGGGGGAAGTCCAGCAAGTCCCAAGAACAGAATCCCTCAAACCAACATCATTGTCTCTGGCAAACCCATTGCCAAAATGGTTCCATTTCCCCATGCGCCCTTGGCAAAGTGACTTGGAAGCCCCTCCCATCAGGAGACGGGGTCTACTTCCCCATTACAGAGCCTGGCTTGACTAGATCTTTTGTTTCTAAATGCCACTGTCAGATGCAGCCAACAGCTCCCTAAAAGAGTGCTGCTAAAGAATTGAAAAAAAAAAGAGAGAGAGAGAGAGAGAAGGGCCCTAAATAATTTCAAAACCACACCAGCTGCAGAATAGAATACTAGGAATACAGAATATTATTGATTTAAATAGAAAGACCTCTTTTCTTTTATGAAGCAAAGATTAATTGCAAAGCGTCTCTAATCCTCATTAGAACACCCTGTAACAACAAAACCCCTCCCTTTTTTTGTTGTTATTTTTTGTTTCTTGTTGAATTTTTTGTTTTGTACTGTTTTGCATTGCTGGATGGAACCCAGGGCCTCACAAATGCTAGGCAAGCACTCTACTGCTGAGTTACATCCCCAGCCCTATGATCCCCATTCTATAGTTGAGGAATCAATACCTAAATGTGAGAAATGTGCCCAAGGTCCAAATGCTAGTGAGGGGAACAGCCAGAGTTCAAGTCCAGCTCAGTCAGATGCTGGGACCTGTGCAGTTTCCACTAAACACCATGTAGTGCCTAATTAATATCATTTCTTCAAAATTTGAGCTGAATATAAGCTTCCATAAGATATTATTTGCCAATTCATTACCTCTTAGCCAAGAGAATATTTGTATTAACACTTTGAACACCAAGATCCAGCTCTGTTATAAAGTAGCTATAGTGGCCATGTGGATTTGGGTCAATCAAATGATCTCTTAGGTCTTCAACTCTTTATTTCATTTACAAATGGGAAGTGAAGTCAGAAGATGGTTCAGACCCCTTCCAGCTCCCCTGACTAGAAGGTTTGCTATTTCTCCCATAGAGTACAAGCTGAACCAGAACCTTTTGTCCCAACTAAGCTTTCTAGGAAAGAGACTGAGACTGGCTCAAGTTCAACCCTGGTCCAATCCACTGTGGGGAAATGGGTCTGACAATACCAATCTGGCTCATAAGCTGTGGATACTGGGAAGTAAAGGAGGTTACTGGGTAGGACTCTTGGGCCATCTGACAGATGTCAGACCATATCCAACCAGAAAGGTAAGATCCACCAAACCAGATGTTCTGGGTCACATGTAACTCCAGGGACCACTTTGAGAGTCAAAATCTTTCCTTTGCTTTGGGAGAGAAGAGCTGGCGACTACCCTCCTTCCCTATGCTCCTTCCAAATATCATCCAGCAGAAAGTTCACAGACACATAAGGATCGTTGTATAACAGGGAGAGGGACCCAGTAGCAGGCTGGCCTTGCTGTCAGAGAGAGAGAGCCTTCCCTGAAAGTCAGTGCAGGGAGATGAAAAGCCACGGACCCTCCAGGCCAACTTGCAGTGTGCAAGCCCTGCAAGAGGAAAAGAAAGATGTAGCTGCACAAAAAAGCTGGTGGTGGCTTGGCCTCAATGACAGGGCTGCCACATCAGTAGGCGATGTTAGATCAGCATTTGGTACTCCTGTCTAGGTGCAGTTCTGCTGCCTGTATCGCCTGTAAGGCCAAACCCCGCCTCCTCCATCCTGCCCCCCCAGCATCCCGATGGAGACTGCAGGATGCTGACACAGAAAGCCTGCAGTTGCTGGGAGCTTCTCCAGGATGCAGCCTGTGCGAGGAAAAAGGTTTGGACAAGAAGAAGAAGAGGAAAGAGAAACAAAAGTCCTCGGTTTGAGTCAGGGACAGATTTCGAGCTGAGAGCTGGTTGCTGGGTGGGGGCTGTGGAAGGGACACATGCAGTTCCTGGTTATGGCTCTTCTGCCCCCTGACCCACCTTGCGAAGCTCCTGTCAACCCAGAGGGGGGACTCAGCTGCAGCAGGAAGTGGCCTCTCAGGAAGGACTCAGGTGGGCTTTGGGGTTATTTGGAAGTAGGGAGGGAGACGGTATTGGGTACAGGGCCAGGGAAGCTGTGATGGCTGTGAGAATGCTTGACTGGAGTGGCAACAGGGGAGAAGGGGACACAGCTGTGGGACAGCCTGGGTGTAGATGAGAGTCTCTTGGTGCCGGCAATGCACTGTGCTTTCTGCAGAGCGACAGCAGAGAAGGGCCTGGATCTGAGGCTAAGGGTCAGCATGTCTGTGTCTTCAGACCACTGTGGGTGATGTGGACTGGCCAGCCCCCAGGCTTTCTGTCCCTCAGTGTCATTCTCTCACTGGTAAGTGGGATGGGGCGTGGGAGGATGGCATCACTGCACAGTGCACAGGGAAGGAGGAAGGGTGCAGTCACAGAGGTGGGTGAGGAGGGAAAGAAAGGGCTCCCGAGTCAGCACTGAGAGGCACCTGAAGGACTATTTCATCCTGGGAGACTCTCGGGGCATGGAGGCTGCTCTTCCCAAAGGGCCTGGCAGGACTGGCTGTGGGCTGGGCAGAGAATGGCAGCTGCTGACACACAGAGATGCTATGTGACCTTGCACAACACAGTCAACCTCTCTGGGACAAGAGCAATCATAACACTGGATTGTTATGGTAGTCCACAGTAAAAGAGACTTATAAAATATTATAAAATTATAAAAGTATTAACTATAAAATCATAATCAATATAAATATTGCATATAAATATATTAAATATAAAATTACATATCGAGTATAAAATTATTAAATATAAAGGTGTAATAGAATTTCTTGGGCTGGTGGTGTCTTACTGGCTCCACACAAGACCTCTTGAGAATTTTTTTTTAATGCTTTATCTGGGTTTCACCCTGGATCAATTATTCAAAGTAGAGCAAGGGACAGCAGACAGGCAGGAAGACTTTTTAAAATCTTCTTGGGTAATTCCAATGCTCTGTAAAGTTGAGACCTGCTTACAGGTCATAGGAAGTCTAAACATCCTGAAATAATCACTTGGAGCTCATGTATTTTAAAAAATGGAGTCTCCAACTTCTCCCAAATCTACTGATTTTTAGGGAGGCCTAGAAGTCTCTGTATAGCTGATCCTTTATATCCATGAGTTTCATACCCAATGATTCAACCAACCTTGGACCAAAACCATTCAGATAAAGATTGTACCTGTACTGTATATGTACACTATTTTTCTTATTCATTACTCCCTAAACAATGTAGTTTAACAAATATTTATATAGCACTTACATTTTACTAGGCACACAAAGCATCTAGAGACGATTTAAAGCATACAGGAAGATGTCTAGGTTCTATGCAAATACTATATGGTGTTACATAAGGGACTTGAGCATCTGCAGATTTGGGTATCTGTGGGGAATTCTGGAACCAGTCTTCTTCAGATTCCAATGGACAACTGAATTTAGCAAGCAATAAAAGCAGTGTAGACATGTTTATTCCAGCAAGGAGTTTGCCAATTATCTCCTTACCCACTGGATGAATAATCACACCTAGTGATGGTTCCTGAAGGCACAATGAGGGGACACATTCTCTTCAGACAGCATATTCAGATGCTTGTTTTGAGGAAGGGGTCCTGCCAGATAGCCATATCCAACCCATTCTGGCTCCACCGAAGTGATGGTCCAATTAAAAAATAACAAATTTCCCAGCCAGAGAGCCTGGGAACTTTAAGATAAAAGGGAAAGCAGGATGAGCTATCTGGATCACACCGATGAGCCGTGTTTTTGTGTTTTGTCGATAAGGTTGTTCAGGATTCCTTGCTTCACATTCTGTCTGCCGACTGTTCCATTCATAAGGCTGTATAAACACACATGCAGACACACACACACGCTCGCACTCACTCCACCCTCATCAAGCCAGGAATGGGAGAATAAAGAGGAATAAAGGAGACTGTGAACTGGGATCAGGCGACTGTGTTCCAAGGGAACACAAATAGTGTTAGTTATGAAAGGTATCCTAGTGGTTGTTTGGTTCAGACTTTTGATCTCACAGAGGCAATATCAGCAATAGCAGTTGAGAGTAGGACTCTGCAGCCAGACGGCCTGGGGTGAAATCCCACCACCCTGCTTCCTGGAGAGCTCCTTCCATGAAATGGGAAGACCACGGCAGGGCAGCTGAGTAGGTTACATAGGTGGGTAGCTGTGCCTGGTGTGTGGTGCACAGGACGGTTTTTTACTGCTGTGAGCATTGTTGCTGATGATTTATTCCAGGCAAGGAAGTCAAGGCCTGGCAAGATGATTGCTTTGTTCACACTCTCTGACTCTTATAAGAATATTGCCAAAGGGAAGAATCATGAATGTGAGCAAATCTCTGTACTAAGAGTGCTCACTGTAGCAGCACTTATAAGAACAAAAAACCAAGCAGCAGCTTAACTGTCCAACAGTGGGGTAGCTTACCAATCTGATGAAATCCGTGTGACAATTGCCTGAGAAAACTAGAGCCATAATGTGAGGTTTTTAAAATGAAATCCTGCATGATTTCTGTAGAGATACAGAAACAGAACTAGTGTTCTGTCAACAAACTATCAACACAGGGTATCTCTGGTTGTCAGTTGTGGGGATTTTTATTTTCTTCCTTATAATTTTCTGAATCATATTAATTTTCATAGTGAGTAGTGAGTCAAAAAATAAAATAAAACAAAATAAAGTGTTTGTTTCCAGAAACTTGCTCAAGGCCAAACAGCACCTTAGAAACACACAGGTTTTCCACTCATGTCCAGGGCTCTGCCCCCACCTCAGGCTGGATTAACAGCAGTAGTAAGAGAAGCCAAATGGGACCAGAAGGATGAACAGACACCAAAAAGTGGCAAGATGTGGTGGAAACGTGCAGGGCTGGATCCCAGCCCAGAAGCTTCCTAGGGCATAGCTGCAAAGGCAGCCCTGGACACATTGCCCAGAACCTTCTATCCTAAAGCCATAGTGTGGCAGGATGCATGAGCCCAGCACACAGTGTGTGCCCTGGAGGTTGCTCCTGGTCCTCTCTCAGAAATAGAAAGGAAGAAGCTTCAACACTGTGTGAGAATACAGTGTTGATAGAGGGTTCTACCAATGTTTCTTTTATCCTTTCTGCAGTCTCCCTAAGGTGCCCAGATGCAGAGAGTACTGGTTAGCATCCCTGCTAGTCTGCATTCGAGCTTCTCCTTAATATAGAAGCCTTTCCGTGCCCAACATTTTTCCAATCATAATGCCAAGGTGCTCGACACAGCCAAAACCAAGGAATGTTTATTTTGCAACATCAAAATAAAAAAGGATCTGGAAACACTTAAAACTAAGATAGATCTCATCTAAGAAAAATAAAAAGGTAGAAAGAAAGGGGGGGGCAGAGAGAGGGAGGGAAGACAAAAGTACAAAGATTGATCTTGATACCAGATAAAATTATTACCTCTCTCTAAAAACTTCTCTATAACCTGTTCAGTTCGTTCTTTAGATGTTAAATTCTGATCTTTGTATCTAAAATAAGAAGCTGGAGCAGAGGAGCTTTGAGATTCAAATATTCCGTATACAATTGAAATTTTAGCAAATCCAACTCTTTTTCAAAAAAATCTCTCCAGTGGCAACAACCAAGCAATAATGTGATTAAGGAAATGATCAAGAAGAGATCAAGCAAGCCCCCCCCCCCCCGCACACTTGGTGACTGCCCTTGAGCATCATAGGATCTTCAAGCAGAAACTCAATTGTCCAATCCAACCATCTCATTTTACAAATGAAGGCACTGGGCCAGAGAACAGTGCTACTGGCCAACACATGCTGAGAGCCAGACAGGTGACTCGTCCAGGGCCACACAGCAGCCTAGTGACAGACCCAGAATTAGATGCAATTCCCTTCTTCCCCCACAGTCTATTTGTTCTGATTTTCAGTGGATTTAAAGATCAGAGATGCAAGTAGATATCAGAAATGCTTTCTCATGGCTCAGGATGTCTAGAAAAGGAACAGGTACAAAGGCATTCACAGGTAAAAGCAATGACATCCTTTCTTCTTCTGATTCTGAGCACAGAAGGAAAACTACAGAAGAAAGGGTTTAGTCCTGGGCCAGCTGGTGTAGGAGCAGGTGGTGAGCCTCGGGCCCTCTGGGATGAACAGAGAAGAGTCAAGTCTGAGCTCCTCCAGCAGCCCAAAGAAATTCTAGCTGAAAAGAGCTGCCCTGGAAGAACCCAGTCCACCTGGAATTGTTCAACACTTGAAACACTTCAGGAGAGACAGAGCAAGTGTCACACTTGAAAGCAGTGTTTAAGGAAATAGGAAAGAATGAGAAAACCCAGTTGCTTATAGCTAATGGTATTTGTGTCTTGCTCACATTGTGAATAAGATTTTATAAACTGGGCTCTGTGGTGCATGCCTGTAATCCCAGTGGCTCGGGAGGCTGAGGCAGGAGGATCATGAGTTCAAAACCAGCCTCAGCAAAATTGAGGTGCTAAACAACTCAGTGAGACCCAATCTCTAAATAAAATACAAAATGGGGCTGCGGAAGTGGCCCAGTGGTGGAGTTCAATCCCCAGTACCCTGAGTTCAATCCCCAGTACCTCACCCACAGAAAAAGATTTTGTAAATATGACAATTAGTAATATGATCATTAGTAAGGTTATGTTCTCATTAGTAGGTTTAGTTAATTAGAATAGTGCTCATGAAAACAAACATGTGACAATCTTTGATTTGGTTAAGAACATGCATAGATTAGTTAAGACCACACCACAGCGAAGTGATGCAGGCATCCTCATCCACCCGGAAGAGCATCCAAATTGAAGACATCTGCTAACAAAGTAGATCAGAAATGGAATCTACAAAGATCAGCTCCCACATCTACCTTCTTAGAAGACTTTCTATTGAAGAAGGCTATAAAGGGCCATAGGGAGAGGGTGTCTCCTTTCACATTATCCAGAGTCTTATCAATAATTGTAAATATTGTGACTTTTTATGTAACATAAATTAATAGATTGAGAGTTATTATGATGGGTTGTAAACAAGAATGGCTAGTGAAAACGGAAGAATGGAAGGCTCACAATAGGTTTCCTATTAGGGGCTGAAACGTGGATCTGTGGTACAGCATGTGCCCAGCATGTACAAGGCCCTTGGTTCAGTCCCCAGGGCAACCAAAAACCAAGAATAAACAAACACTTTCTGCCCAACTGAAGAGGGGTGTGGAGAACGCTAAGAGGACTGAAGCCACAACATGGTCCATATGAAAAATCTCTGATGGCAGAAACTCCACGGACTCAAATCCATTGGAAGGAGTTTCAGATCTCTTTGACTTTCTCAATATGTATTTCTTGGATTAAACTTTCCATAGGGTATGAACAGAAGTGAGAGAGAGAGAGAGAGAGAGAGAGAGAGAGAGAGAGAGAGAGAGAGAGAATCAGTCTGTGGCAAAATAATTATAATAATAATTTTTACAACCCATCATAATAGCTCTCAATCTATTAATTTATGTTACATAAAAAGTCACAATATTTACTGAGTTAAAGAATTGACCTAGGCTTACTTGCTGGAAGACTTCTCAGAGCCTTTAATTTGAGGCGCACATGTGCTGTGTGTCTCCCAGAGGCAACATTCTGAAGCTCAGTGCCTGGGGATGGCTTTTCATGAGAATATCATGTAGGACCAGAGTTCTGCAAATCACATCTGGGGAACTCTGGCATGAGTTATTCTAGGTAGCATGGCCAGTTAAGCATCCATCTCAGTAGAGGACAAAATAGGAGAAAGGAAGTCGAAAGTGAGACAGGTGATGTACATCTAAGGCAGGAGGAAAACAACTCAACAAAAAAGATCATGAAGCTCAAACACAAAGAGTTCAAAGGCGTCTGTGCTAGGGATGCTCCTTCTCTGGGGAATATTCAGAACAGGTCTGTAATAACTTAGAAATGCAGAGTGATGGATTCCATGAGTTTTACCTAAGTCTCTTCCTGCTCCATTATTCTCTGTCAGTTTGCTTTGTTCTCTATTTATGTACCATTAAGTGAGTGCAGATGGCTTACTTGCAAATGAAACACATTCCTGAAATGCTGTGTATAAAGCAAATATATTATTTGTAAATGGAGTCATATTTTCCACTGATACAATTCCAAAGAAGAATGTTAACCTCACACATCATCAAAGGCGTAGAGGAGGCAATTCCACCTGTGTCCTTGAGCAGCTCTTGAGAGCTCTTCTCCCAGGGCCAACCCTGGAGAGGGATTGGCCAGGGACTTCTGATCTGAGCACACTGTCCACAATTGGTTATGCAATCTCTCAGTCAATCCCCAAGCATGTTGGAAGTTCTCAACTGATCCCAGAGATTCAGAATGGACAAGTCATCTCATTGCTTTCTCTGGGCCCACTTATATGAAAAAGCACCTCTGATAGCAAAATGATACTATTATACACACACAACTTTTCTGGAAGGTGTATGGAAAAACTGAAGCAGACAGACATTGAAATGGAGGCTCAGGATAGATTTCTTTTAATTGCAGCCTGATTTAACTTTTTTTGCACTCTTGTCTCATCTAACCTGCTACATCTGAACCAGAGCCAACTTTGACAAAGTTAAGTTAGGGCATATATTTGGGGAAAATGAAAGTATAGGATCCTTCTACTTTTTTTATTTGTTATATACTGGGGATTGAACCCAGGGACACTTAACCACCAAGCCATATCCCCAGCCATTTTTATATCTTATTTAGAAACAGGATCACACTGACTTGCTTAAGGCCTTACTAAATTGCTGAAACTGGCTTTGAACTTACAATCCTCCTGCCTAAACCTCTTGAGCCTCTGGAATTACAGGATCCAGCGGGATCTTTTTAAATTCTGGTTTTCAGAAATAAAAGATATCCCCAAGGAGAGAAGACCCACATGAAGTCACTGAGCTCTTGGAATCCCAAGGATTTGGATCTTACTCTAGTTCTAATTCCTTTGGCAACTGACCTCTTGAATTCTGGCCCTGAAATATTTTAATGAAATTACAGGTAAAACTAGAAGCTGAGGAAGGTTTTTCTGATCTCCTTCCAACAGCAGTTGGTTCAGTTCTATGACCATTTAATCTGCGACCAATAAACTTCCAAGGCAGGAGAGTCCACCTCAAAGCCAAAATACTGAGAACCACCCAGGATCTGGGAACAAAAGGGATCTGGAAGGATGATGATGTCATTCCCCCAACAGGACAAGGGCAGAGCCTGAGCTAAGAGCCAGTCATTATTCCAGGAAAGTGATGAGTCCCTGTCTCACGCCCTCTTGGTGCTGGCGAGCAGGAACAGAGTGGTGTCTCATTATCTGACACCCTGGAAGTAGGAGGCAGTCCTCAAATCAGAAATATCCAAATACTGAATTTTGCCCTGCCGTGTAGTTTGAATCTTAAATGTCTCCCCAAAAGACTCAGTCTTCAGCTTGGTGCTGTTGGGAGATGCCTAGACGGAAGGCGTTCAGTCATCAGGGGATATGACCTTAAAGGTGATAGTAGAACCCTGGTCCCTTCTTCTTCCTCTGTCTCTCTCTCTCTTCCATATCCCAGCCCCTACCATGATGTGCTTGCTATTCTTCCACTAGAGGCCTAAAAGTAATGTGTCTGTCCAGTCATGGACTGGAACTTCCAAAACTGTTAGTCAAAATATCCTTTTTGTCTTTATAAGCTTATTTATCTGGGGTATTTGTTATAGTAATGGAAAGCTGACTAACACGGCCTGACTGCTCATTTTAATCACTTTATATGGAAATCCTTAATTGCATCACATATTTCTCTGCCTGCTTAACTGGACAGAGGACACAGCACATTCTTGTTACTATGTGGTACCATCTTCATTCAGCCTCGTGATCCTGTCTCTCCTAGGTCACAGGGATCATCTTCTCCCAGATACAAGCTTCCACTTCCATGCTCATTGTCCTTTCTATCAGCCACATGCACTCCCACCTCATCTAACCTGCGACCTCTGAACCAGAGTCAACTTTGACACAGTTAAGTTAGATCACAGAGGAAAGCTCTGCAGAGAGGCCACAGTCACCAAAGTCTACAGGGTCACAGGATGACAGAGGTCAGTATAGTTTCCCTAAACATGGCACCTTTTGGTCTTTTGCTTCATAACCTTTGGCAGAAATGGACATATAGAGAAATGTTTTCCACCCATGAGGAAAATAAGGCCATGGGCATAATGAAAGCTGACCAACAGCCCCAGTCTCCGCATCCAGAAGGCTCACGGACAGCCTCTGGCCTTGGCAGCAAGACCCCAGGCTTCTGGTCTCATGGATTCAGGGTCCTTTTACCTTTCAGAGACTTGCTTTTTCTGTTAAATTTATTGACTTGGTAAAGGAAATCGTCATGGATTGGAAATCAGGAATGAGGATAATTGGAAGCAAAAAGAGACTCAACTCACTCTGAAGGGAACAACTATAACCCAGCTCCTGCTGATGATTGTTGGAAAGCAGATCAGGCCCAGATCTTTTGTTTTTCAATAAAAAAAAAATACAGAACTGTGAGTGAAATCTCCCAATACTTCCTAATATCGCATCATTATTGTCACACTCAATCTGATGACTTAGGACCTATTGAAAGGAGTAAAGTACAGTTTTAGGGTAGGCGCTCTGCTTGTGCTCCTTCTATAGTCACTAAAGCCATGTACAAGAAGGTTCCATACGCAGAAAATAAATGAATAAATAAATAACAACACACACACACACACACTTCCAGGTGCGTGTGTTAGGCTCCTACAGGTGCACATGTGTGTGCTCTCCTGGGTGAATATGGTCCCTGCTGTGAAGCACAGAAAGCAGTTACTGCAGGGAACACAAGCTATTTTCCCCATCATTCCAGACCTTTCTTCTCTTTCCAGCAATGCCAAATTGCCTTAAGGCAGCTGGGGAGTGCTTGTCTGATTTATGGCTCGACTACCATGGCTTCTGGAAACTTTGTTCATTCTTGCCCTAGTCCTGTGATTTATAAAAGACATCTATAACCCAGCAGCAACTTTTCCTTCTCTACCAGGGCAAGCAAGTGCAGGGAAGAGTGGAGAAGCTGGTTTCTAATTCCCAGAGCATCTGAAGTCAGCACTCTTGGGTAAGATGCTAAACTTTTGCATTCCTTCTTCCTTCCTGAATCCAAAACAGAAGCCTCAAGTGACCCCCTGCTTTTCTGACAGGGGTTTCTCTAGCTAAGCCTGATGCTTCGGTAACCTGGAAAGTCTGGGGAGGGAAAGATAAAATTGCAAACATTTTAATTCCATTTCCTATGGGAAGTTCTGCTAAGGAGTTTGGTTGGATAGGAAATAAAGTCATTCATTAAAAAGAAAATATTCAAGTAATCCTTAGATTTCCATCTTCTGGGGAAAAGGATGCTGGGATCGGAGTCAGTAAATGAGTGTTCCCGACTCAGCTCTGCCCACATACCTGTGGGGTCTTGAGTTAATCAGTTCACTTCTCTGCCTCAGTTTCCTCCTTCATGAAAAGAGGCATTTACTGCCCCTTTCAGCTCTCACATCCCGTCTGTCTGTGACCTTCAGTACTGCCCTTGGCAATGCTCTGGTGCTCAGAGAAAGGTTTAAGTAAAGTTTCTCCTTTTTATTTTGGTTGGAAATGAACCTTGTTGGAAAAAAAAAAAAAAAAATATATATATATATATATATATATATATATATATATATATATATATATATATATTACCAGTATATCCATCCTATTCCTTCGATAATCATTTGGATGACATTTCTATACATTCACTCATATCTTAAGTGCAATTATTTAAAGAAATTCTGCTGTGATTCTTCTAGGCAAAGAGCCTTCTGGTAAAGCAGAGAGCTAACCAAAGTCTAGTTTTTATGTCATTTTTCATTTAAATGTTTGTGTCAAAGAACAAAACCGAAAGGTGAGGACCCTGCCTTTCTTTTGAGAGAGCAGGTGGGCCTGGGCCTGCTCTCAGGTGGACATTCAGTGTCACTCATCAGAACTGTGCTTTGCTGAGAGTTCATTTCCTGCTAAGCCCTTTAACTGGCAGCCTTGTGTAACCCTCACCACAATCCTAAGAGGCAAGTGGTATCAGCTTCCTTGTTTTGCAGATGACAAAACTAAAGCTTAGCAAGGTCAAATGAGGTGCAGACCCAAGTTCAACTCCAAAGGCAGGCAAGCTCTGAATCCAGAAACAGGAGGGTAGCCATGCTTCCTTGCCCTGGTCTGGATCCTTCAAGAGAAGCTGAAGGGGTCACAGCAGTGCGCTGAGGGCATGCAGAGCATTCTGGGCTGCACTGAGACCCCCAAGGAAAGCTGCAGTAGTTGCTCTTTAGCCAGGAGGAGGCAAATGAGACTCTCATATGTAGAAGAAGCTGGCTTCTTCCAACTTCAGGGTCTCCTCTCCCTCCACCTTTGAGAAGGACAGGGAAGCTGAAACACAACCTGCAAAGTGGAGAGGACATGAAAGTGGTCGGGAACCGAATGGGTAGTGAAGATGATGACCAGAGGGAGAAGAATGGAACAGAGTAACAAAGGGCTCTGTAGAACAACGTTCCATTTATCTGAGACGTCCACACAGACATAGGAGAAATCTCCAGGTGCTTTCAGAGCCCCATGGGGGAGGGGCTTAGCACACCTGCAGCTTCTCCATCACAGACAAATTGGCACGTAAACAAAAATCTATATATGCAATTAGGAGCCACAGCTTCTCTCTTTCTTTTTGCTCAGTATGGGTCAGACGCTCACTGCACTCCATTCCACACACCATCTGTGATAGACCACACATAGCCATGTGCCCTTGAACATGTCACCACCCCTCTGAGCCTCAATTTCTCTTCTCCACCAAAGAGGAAAACAACCTGCCTACCTGCTTTGTTTTGTGGTAGTAGGCACATGATCATCATAGTCGATCTTTATATAGTGCTTGCGAGTTTAAACATTGTACGTGTATTAATCTATTTAATCGGGGCTGGGATTGTGGCTCAGCAGTAGAGTGCTTGCCTAGCACCGGTGGGAACCGGGTTCGATCCTCAGCACCACATAAAAATAAAAGCATTGTGTAGAGTCCATCTATACCTAAGAAATAAATATTTAAAAATAAATCTATTTAATCATCAAAACAGCCCTATGTTGTCAGAGCTATTTTTACTCCCCTCTCCAGTTGACCAAGAGGGCAACTGAGGCTCAGAACAATTTCATAACTTGCCCCAGTGTCACCCAGCAGAGGAGGGACTTGGACCTAACCACCTGGCTCCGGCGTTCATGGCCCTCACCATTTTATTCTAGAGCTTACTGCCTGAGGAGAGCGCTGGGTGGGTCTTTGTCAGAGGACAGCCTCCTTCTTGTTTCTATTAGAACTCCCCTCAGAGGGGAGGCTGCACAGCAGGGTCCAGTTCACCGGGGAGGGTGAAGCTGCCGTCGAGGGTGGCAGATGCTAGCCAGGTGCCCGGCAGGCTTCCTGGAGGTGAGGGAAGGAATGGGCATCCTCCAGCCCCTCCCAGCCAAGGGACTGTCTTGCTATGTTCTTTTTCAAAGTGGTGTCTTTGCTGCCAAGACCGGGTTTGTCTGTCTCCTGGAGACAGCGGTTGTCAAGCCCTGAGAGAACAGCAAGCATGTCAAAAATAGCAGCGCCAGCAGACTGCGCGGCTGCAATTTCCTTTTGAAATGTCGGCTTTGCTCTCGCCAAAGAGCCAAGGTCTGTCTACCCTCCTTGCAAACTGCAGCAGAGGCAACTTAAGGGTCCAAAATGTTTCCCAGGGGCAGGCAAAGTGTATCATCACAGGAGCAACTGAGAGAAAATTCTCCATATAGTAACAATGATACGGTTGGAGTTGGGTTAAATGAAGAAGAAGAAAAAAAAATTTGCCATAATCCGCAGCAAGGTCGGCCCCAAATAGGTCAGTGATAGCCAAGGCTAGACCAGTGTTACCTGTCCTGGCTGGTTCTCTCGTTCTCTCTCGTTCTCTCTCTCTCTCTCTCTCTCTAGGAATGAGAGAGTCATTATCCTGTTGGGATAACACTTCCTAAGTGTCACTGATAGGTTTCCACTCCTCCTTTAGGGTCACATGTGAAGCAAGGGGATGAGGACCAAGAAGGAACAAAGAAGCAGGCTAAATTATTTCCTCAAGTTCAGAACAAAGGGACATGAAAACAGGACAATCTGCAACTCCGCAGGGACTGCAAGCCCAGAAGGGGAAAGTGGTGCATCGGGAAACCCAGCAACATGAGAACTAAGAGCCCATCTGTCCTTATTCCCAGTGGCCCGTGTGTGGGAAGATATGTTCTCTCCCTCCAAACCCCCAAGCGCCAGACCTTATTCTGCCATGAGATATCTGTGCAGCCTGGTATAAAGAGGAACACAGAAAGGAACCCTACTGTTGAATAAATGGATTTCTTTCCCTCCTCTAAGTGATCATGACACGCTAGAATCAGACCACACTTTCCTTCCCATAGTAATAGCACACCGTCAAAACCAATCAGAGCCAGGATGGCAAGTCCAGCCACATTGTCCTGGGAGGACAATGTTCTCTGGGAATCTAGCTTGGCATTTATGTAGAGATGCAGGGCAACAGAAATCCTGCCTGAAGCAAGAGCTCAACCAGTAGGGAGAAGGAATAATAAGTTGGCAGGACTAGAAAGTGTCATCTGGCAGAAAGCCCTAAGGGAGAGAAGGAAGAGATCCTGTGGCACAGGCCAGAGGAAGAAGAGAAGGAACTGGCTCACAGATAACAATGCAAAGGTAAAATGAATGAAGGTTGTCATCTCCCACTTCTTTGGTTTATCCAAAGCACTAGAGACTGCTGGTCCTCATTCTAGGGCAAAGAAGGGTTAATGACTACTTTAGTGGGTAGTTGAGGTTGGAGGTTGGGAGAAATAAAACCTTGGCTTCTAGGAAATTTCTTAAGGAAGTCAGAGTTTACAGGTCCAAGAATTAGGTGGGGCTTTTGGTTTGTTTGCAGAGGATTTATTTATTTGTTTGTTTGTGGCCCCCCAAAAAAACACATTCTTTGAGCAAGCTCACCTCCCTACTCCTATATAATTAATATGTCCAACACATTCATCATTAGTTCAGGATGCGCTAGTCATACTCTGCACCTACCAAAAGAATGGCTTGACATAATTTTGGAGAAAGAAAAAGGATATAAATCCTACAGTAGCTTCATAGACCAAAAAAACACACACACTATCAGTTCTTGGTATCGTACACAAATCGCAAGGTGCAACTGCATGAAAGCTCTGAAGTGTCCCCGTGTGGCAGAAGAAAAAAACTGTCATTCCATTACAGACCTTCAATCTGGTCCATCACTAGAGATGCTAACCTTGACTTATAAAACCAAATCTTCCTCCCATTGCAGTGGGAGACTCCCGGGTTACTAGACTCATGTCTCCTTTTCCCCCAAATTGCAATGTTTTCTGTTGTTGTTGTTAACTTTTGGAGTTGTTAATGACAATAATGATTGTCCCCACAGTTCTATTTCAGAACATTTCCATCACCCCCAAAAGTACTTTGGTGCTAGCTTAACAGCCCAGTCTTGGGCCCCTGAGGAGCCTGGGGTTGTCCTAATGTTCTGATGTCCTGATGCAGATGGGACTTAAAAACCTACGTGCCACAGCCTCCAGTAGGGCAACCACACAGTCTCCTTACGGACTGGTGGGGAATCTTAACCTACATCTCCAAGGAGCATCTCCTGCACCTTACACCACTGGGAATGGTGTCTCTCAGTCTCTCTGCCCTAGTGCACAAGGGAGCCAGCCACAGGCTAAGCAAACCTCCAAGTCAATGATTGGCAGTTATCAGGCGACCCCGAGTGAAGGACTTTCCCATTCTAACTTCAATCTTATACCTTCCTCCCAAGTCCTCTTTTTTTCTGTTTATTTTCCTATTCCTACTGTTCCTTTGTCTTCAACATCTCTGCAAGGTTCTTAAGGTTCAGGAACCCTAAGATGACATACTCTAGTACTATATGGCAGAATATTAATATAAGGCATCAAGTTCATTCTCTCTCCCCTGCTCCCACCCCTCTCCCCCTCCCTCTTTCATCTTTATATGTTCAGGAAATCACTGGGAGATGTTTTTCTAAACCCAGAGCATCCCAAGTTCCTTGGTAAGTGCAGGACATCCCCCAATAGGGGAGTGTGGCAAGAAAGGATGGGGAACTGAGGTGTCAGGAAACAGGGAATCCTCTGGCTGGAGGCCGACCTTTTCAAAAACACCCAGGATCACAGCTGTCCTAGAATTCAACAGAAACACCGTAGGTGCTGCCAGCCACCCAAAAGGTACAGAGAGGGAGAAAGAGGAAGAAAAATACACAGAGAAAGAAGAAGAGGTTGAAAACAATGGGGTGGGGGCAGGAGAAATGAAACAGAGAAGGAAGAAAAAAAAGGCACAGAAAGGAATAAAAAAAGGAGAAAAGGGAGAGGAAAGAGAGGAGGGAAAGAGATGGTAAGAAAGGTGTGGGAGAAGCAGCATTGAGAGGACAGAGACAGAGGAAAAGGAAGTGAATGGAGGCACAGAAAATACACAGAGATGGAGCAAGGTGGTCACAAAGAAAAGGCAAATGAAACCCTGCTCCCCCACCAAACTTAATCTTCTCCTACTTTCTCTCCCTGCTGTCCAGATTTCTAATTTGGCATGGAGGCTGATCCAGGAGCAAAATTCCCCCACAGCAGGACCTACCTCAGGTACAAAGACAGCCAGCTGTCCCTCCTCACTCCTCAGGGACGCTCTCGGGCAGAAGGAGTATCCCTCAGTCCAGGCTGAGGCTGACAGTCCCAGGAAGTCCTCTGGGAGCCCCTGTCGGCTCCAGTCAGGTATAAAGATGGCTTGGTATAAAGAGTCCACCTTTCCTGACAGCTGGGAGTCCCCATCCCAGCTGGGCCAGCAACACACAGTGCGTATTCTCCTGATGCTCAGGTCACGACATCCACATAAAGAGACTCACAGTCAGAGAGGGGCCATTGGACAAAATCCTTCACAGAAACTAGATTGGGCCACAGTCTTTCGGGTTTTCTTCCATGTCTCAAGAAGAACTGTGAGATCCCTCCCAGGAGCTCGACTACTCCCCGAGAAGAAGGGGCTTCATTTCTCTCAGTCTCTCTTAGAGCTGGGAAGATCCTCTGTCTTAGGAGATGAGAACTCCATGACACCTAAGGCTAGGACTGTTCTCAGCAAAGCCCAGCCTGGCTGCTTCTGGAGGAACACACTGTCCATTCTGAGGGCTCCCCTGGTCATTTTTAAAAGCATAACATTGATGTTGGTTTAACTGGGCAGCTGCTAAGCATTCAAGTTTCTGAAGACTCAGGGGTAAGATGAGGCAGCTTCAAGGACTGGGTAGGGGAAACCAGGAAGAATCCAAGGAGGAAGTTCAAGAAGTTTAGTTTCCTCCACATTTTCCAAGGTCCTGTGTCCCTGTCCTGGCTCTACCTGCCCCTAAACCAATAGTAGAAGGTGCTCCCATTTGAGAAGCTGGGAATATGTAGTCTGTTCTCCCTTGATGCCCGAATCAGAAGACTGAGAGAACAGTCTGGAAGGTTGCTACGGCAACCAGAGTCCCTAGAGATCCCAGCTCTCCACAAACCTTTTACTTTCAGGCATGCTCTGATTTGAAAAGGCAATGTTTGCTCAGGGATGATGATGAGCATGATCACATACACATATCTACAGATACATGCATACATGTCCCAACAGGGGGCATCCCTTTAGCTACTGACATGGGCCCTTCTTTTCCCAAATAGCCAGGAGTAACAGAAGAGATTTGGAAAAATAGCACTTCCTGACCTTGGAACAGGTTTCTGAATCATAAACACCTTTGTCTCCTACTATGTTTCAGGTTTAAGGAAGCCAATCTCCTAGGCAAGGTGACCTCCAGCCCTAAAAAGGATCTACCCAGCCTGTCTAAAGATGATTCTCCATTCGGAAGGGTAAGAAAAAAGACTGAGGCGCAGCCCAAGAGCCCAGGGAAGGATTTAGGAAGTGAAGAGCTCATAATGAATGGCTATTCTTGGGTTTTGGTTCCAAGGCAGAAAATCTGGGGGGGGGGTCTTACTTCTGGGAGGTGGGGAGACAGGGTAATGAACTAAAAATCAAATCAACGACTATAATTCACATATGTGCATAGTGTCTTCCCCAGCTTCCCAGATGAGCTCATTGACATTCACCATGAGGTAGGGAGGGGAAGACATTAATGTTCCCATTTAATGGGGGGAAACTGAGGCACAAAGAGGGACTGTGGTGCCAAAGCTACCCTGTAAAGCTGTGGCAAAATCCAGATTTCAGTCTGGCACTCACAGAAGCTACACTGCCTCTCAAGCAAACCCTCAAAGGCTATCCCTCAGAAGTTGCTCTTCGGGAATTTTTATTTTTTAAAAATTTTCATCTAAGAGTCTTAAAGCATAGTTATAAAATTAAAAGCATTGTAACAGTCCTTTCAGTTTCAGAACTGCACCCAGAAGAGATTCAAACAGTACATCACAGTTTATCAAAGGCAAGAAACAAAGGGTAAAGTGACCGGGGAGAAAAGAGGGAAGTGGGCAGGTGGGATGGATGGCAGTAGTTTCACAATGGAAGAGGATGGCTGAGTCCAGGTGGGAAACAGCCAGATTACCTTACCAGTTTGAGCAGGCCAGATACAGCTCCAGGGGGCCGAGCAGGTGAATGTTTGCTTGACTCAGCAAAAACCCCTACCAGTGTCAGCAAAGGAATAATGCTTGTTCCTTAACCTAAGCCACATATGTCATTACCCATAAAATGAGAAGAAACTGGCAATCAGTATGTGTTTTCACCTGTCTACAGATTTGAGCTGGGGTTGCTTTAGAAAGCCTTCACCTGAAATCCTAAGTCAAATTCCCAGGAAGAAGAGTGGAAAGCCAGAGAGGGTTCTGGTGAAATGAGGGAGAAAAAAACCTGACATCTGCAACAAGATTACTCTGCCCCTCCAAAATGACAATCTCTGCTTAGTGGTACCTTGCTTCTGGTTTGTGATCAAGCCAGTTGCTTGACTATATTCAGCCATTTCTCCTGGTTCTGTAGGTCCTGTTTCCAGTTCCTCTGCACAGGAAGGCACTTGCACAAAAAGAGTATTTGGCTCTGAGAAGGAACCTTCCTGGAAGCTCAAGAGAGAGTCAGGGATAAGAGTGGGGAGGACTAAATGCAGACCAAAGACCAGTGTTTCCTATACCAGATCACAGCTGGGAGAATCCTTTGGCCCCTTGGTCCAGGACTGACCCTCATGTCCTCCAGATCATCCACTTTAATTGCATTTTCTTTCATTCCATCCAAGATTAGAAATGGATAACATATTTTGAGGCTGTATAACTAAATCTGTATAGAGGGTGCTCTGCAGGATGACCAGCAGGTGTTACAGTTCATGGAATGAAACAGCACATTGAGTATTGTTTCCATCTTCCAGCTTCCACCAGTTATCAAGAAGCTAAGACAGGTACATGCCCCCCAAAGCAAAGGACAATAAGGAGAGTAATAGGACTCAAGTATGGCTGATTTCCATCCTATTAATGTTTCTGCTCCTAAAGATAAGACAAGTTCCAGACAGGAAAAATCAGAGTCTTGAGGGAAGGTCAGACAGAACAGTATATCTCATCCACGTGACAGAAGATGGACATGATTGGGTGGCACCGTTGCAATTTCAAAAATGTCACTTAGATGGATAAACCTTGAATGCTGTTCAGGTCAAGCAACAAGGTTGACAGTCCAGGTATTTGGTCCTGGTTGCCATGTACTGGGTGTAGGGAGAGGGAGTCAAGAGGTCAGCTGGATCTAGGGTGAGAGTTGTGAGGATGAGAAAGAAGCCTAAGAGTTAGTTCACTTAGTACACCCTTCTCATGTAGTCTCTGCCCGCCTGGGTCAAACCTCTGTGAGCATCCTTTTCTCTGCAAATGCCCGATGTGGAGTGGGAAGGTAGCTGGGCCTCCGTTCCCGGGGGGCCTCAGAGAAGTCCGGCTTGCCAAGTCCATTGTCAGTTGCCTTCAGGTCTGGTGTAGGCTGCCCACAAGTGACGTGGGTATACTGGCCTTGCTCCTCCTGCTCTGTCTCCCGGTGGTAGAAGTAGTTGAAGTTGGAAACGATGACTGGCACAGGCAGGGCAATGGTGAGGACCCCAGCGATGGCGCACAGAGAGCCCACGATCTTGCCCCCGACAGTCATGGGGTACATATCTCCATAACCCACTGTGGTCATTGTAACCACTGCCCACCAGAAGGCATCTGGGATGCTGGGGAAGAGTGAATCATCATCATCAGCCTCTGCAAAGTAGACGGCACTGGAAAAGAGGATGACTCCAATGAAGAGGAAGAAGATGAGCAGGCCCAGCTCCCTCATGGAGGCCTGCAAGGTCTTCCCCAGGATCTGCAGCCCTTTGGAATGGCGGGAGAGCTTGAAGATGCGGAACACCCGGACCAAGCGAATCACCCTGAGGATGGCCAGGGACATGGCCTGCTGCCCATTCTGGCCACCCCCTCCACTGGCTGGCTGCTGCTCCTGCTGCTGCACTAATTCAGTGCCCAGGGTGATGAAGTAGGGGAAGATGGCCACCAAGTCAATGATGTTCATGATGTTGCGGAAGAAGGCCGGCTTGCTGGGGCAGGCAGAAAAGCGCACCAGGAGCTCAAAAGTGAACCAAACAATGCAGAGAGTCTCCACCAGAAAGAAGGGATCTGTGAAGAAGGAGCCCCCAAGAGTACTGAGTGAGGACGAACCTCCTGTCCCCATTCCCCCAGAGGTGATGCCCGGGTGAAATGTATAGGAATCATCTTCCTCTTCCTCCTCCTCCTGACTTCCCCTGGAAACTGGGGAGACTCGGCTCACACCACCATCATTGCTTCCACTGCGACCATCTGCACGAAACTGGGGCAAGGTCTCCAGGCAAAAGATGACGATGGAGATGAGAATGACCAATACGGAGACAATAGCGATGCCTCTGGCGGGCCCGGAGCTCTCAGGATACTCAAAAAGAAGCCAAACCTGGCGCTGGAAGGGCTGGGAGGGTAGCGGCTTCTCGTCCTCTCCACCTTCGGGCAGACAGCCCTCATCCTCCCGGAAGGCCGCCAAGGCTTCATCCCCCAGTTGATAGAAGCGAATCTCCTCCATGAAGATGTCGAGGGGCACGTTGACCGGCCTCCGCAGGCGGCCCCCCGACTGGTAGTAGTACAGGATGGCATCGAAGCTGGGCCGGTTGCGGTCGAAGAAGTATTCATTCCTCAGTGGGTCAAAGAAGCGGACTCGGCGGCCAGGGTCCCCAAGCAGCGTGTCAGGAAATAGCGACAGGGTGCGCAGTTGTGTCTCAAAGCGCAGCCCGGAGATATTGATCACCAGCCGCTCGCTACTACAGCAGCCCCCGCCGCCAGCGGCCTCCGGGAAGTCTCCGGCATCCTGTTGCTCCCCCTCCGGCCCACGGACCTCCCCCGGCGCCGCCAGCGTAAGGGATTTCTCCGATCTCATGTCCTCTTGGCTGTGCGCTCCCCGCCACTAGGACGGCGCCCACGACCCAACCTCGCGCGCGCGCTGCACCCGCTTCCCAGTTCCCGGTTGCGCTCCCTCCTTAGGGTGGGGCTCGCGCTCCTGCAGGCTAGCGGTCTGACCTGGCGTTTGGGTTGGTGAGCCCTGAAGCCCTGATCCCTGCAAGGATAGGTCTGGGAGGTGACCTGGGCGCAGAGGATTTGGCTCCGTGCTTCTGATACCCGCGCCTCGGTGCTGGTGCTTACTGAGATGCCTGGAATCTCAAACTGGCGCGTGAAATTGGCCGTCCGAAAAGACGCGTGGCTTCGCCCCTTGCTGTGCCTGAGGCTGGGCTCCTGGACGCTGGGGTCCGCCCTCCAGACGAGCTGGCTCTTCCCAGCTCCCACTGCGCTTCTCCAACAGCTCAAGCCCCCGGCGGCCGCTGGTACCAAAGCGCCAGATGCGCCTCCCTCCGGCTCGGCAGACTCCTGCCCGGACTCGGCCTCCGCCCTAGGTCCACCGCGGGGTTTGGTTTGGCCAAGGTCGTGGTTAAAGCCGCCACAGACACCACCTCCTCCCCAGGAGCTGCTCCGCAAGCTTTGGAGAGGGCCCTGAGGCTGCCCCGGCGCGCCGGAGCGCGGGGACCCACCTCCCCACGACTCTAGCCTTCGCTGCCGCCGCCGCAGCAGCAGCGGCTCGGCTCTCCGCTCTGCCCTTCCTTCCCAACACACTCTCCAAGTGACGTGGCAGGCCCCGCCTGCTGCCCCCTCCCACCCCACTCCCACATCACACCCCTCACCCAGCCAGGGGCTGCAGGGAGCCAGGGCGCTGTGGAAATAGACACACACTTGCCTCCCCAGTAATCTTCCCCGCGCTCTCTTGGCACGCCTCTCGCTTTCACACAATCACCATTCATGGTCCCCCTAAACAGGAGCCAGTACCCTAGTACCACACCCCCTCAATTGCCGCAATCAGCTTTTCTCATATGGGTTTACCGAGTTGACCTGCGCAGTGTTCCATCACTGAGAAATCCCACCTCACCCCCACCTCAACACACCCCTCCCACTACTTGATACAGAGCAGTGTGCCTCCAGTCATCCAGACATCTAATTTAAAAAATTAAATCCTATGTCGTCTCTCTGTATTTACAAAGACCCATATGCTGGTTTCTCCAATATCCTACTGTAAAGAAGAAGAAAAAGAAAGGGGGGGGGGGAGAGAGAAAAAGAAAAAGGAAGTATTTTTGAAATGTCTTGAAAGCTTCCAAATTAGATTGTATTCCAATGCAATTCCCCCAGGGAATATCTCTTTGAAAACCTGGGAAGGCGAGGCTGCAACTCTCCCAGGATGGCAAAGTGATAGTAGGAAAGGGTTGGGAAGCCTGCCAATGCCTTTCTCATCACAAGTCTTCCTTCTCCCAGGGAGTCCTGGGAACGTTAGGAAGCAGTCCCAGTGAAGAAAGAACCAGAAGATGGTGGCATCAAAGACATCACAGCCAGGAAAATACACCTGGGAGAAGCCTTTGCTTGCAGCCTCCCTGGAATGCATCTGGAATTTCTGCTTATTGCACAGCCAAGAAAAGGGAGGAAAGGGTGGAAGAAAAAGTATGTCAGAGGCTTAATTTTTTTTAAAAAAAACTGCATTTATTAAGCATCTAATGTGTACCAGCCACATTCTAAGTGCTTTACCAGAAAGATGGCCTCTGCTCCTAGACCAGGCTACAATGAAGATCCATTGACCAATATTTGGATAGGACAAAGTTTGTTATTAGGGACCACTTAACTCTTTCCCTGACTCTCTAAGAGCATACAAGTAAGAGTGGCTTTCTATCCATTTCTGCCTTTCACCAAATAGTCTTTCTTCACTACACCAGCTGATTGAGGGTCTATAGGGGGAGGGCTCATCTTTGCAAACTGCTACTTCCAGGTAGATTGACATTTGCTTCTCTATGCCTCAGTTTTCTCCTTTCTGCCTGGCTGTGGCCAAAATTAGCTAACAACTACAAGGTGTCTTTGTGTGGCTGCTTCTGCATTAGTAAGAGTTCATTGGAGATAGCAATGAGAACGATACATAAATGTACTCTCAAACCACAAGATGCATGGAAGAGTTCTTTGTATTGCACAAAGTGTTTTAAAACTGCAGTTGTTCTCAGCAGCATTTGCTCCCAGAGGGGATGAAGGGGAGGAGGGAACTAAGGCTTCTGGACCTCTAGGGAAGAGGTCAGGTGGTGAGCGGGTAAGGGAGATGCTAGCTTTAGAACTCACTGCATTCTCCACTTTGTTCCTCACCAGGTCTTCCATGCTACAGCTTCTGCTTCTTTTCTACACTGTTAGTATCCGTTTCCCCCTCCTCTCTCTTGCATGTTTCATTGAAAGGTGAGAAAGCTAGTATACTGGTTTACCCAGTTTTCCCATTCACAGCCTTTGTAATTAAGCAATTTGGTCTTCATGCAAAAATTGTTCCATTCAAAAAAAATAAATAAAGGGAAGCAGCAATAAACACAACATAGGAGATACTTTTTTATCTTTGTCCAATTTTCTATAATATTCTCTGGTTTATAAACTGGCTGGCCCTTGATTCTTTTTGGTTTTGTTTTCAAATTTTATAGTCAATTATTCACTGGCATATTCATTTAAATCATTGCCGCTTTTATTCAGGAGATTGTCAACTAGGTCAGTAACTTCGAAACAAAGAAGAATGGGAAGAACCCTGAATTCTGCCAGAAGGGTACACAGCCAGTTAAGCCTGACAAGTGCTGTCTGCCACCCTACAGGCAAAGCTGATGTTCTGTGGTCAACCTTCACATCAGGCATAAGGCTGCGCCCCAAGAAAGGTTTCATTGTGCACGGGGAGGATCCCCTGAGAGGGAAAAGCCATTAGCAAGTTCATGAATCAGAGTTCTGTTTTTAGTTCTTTTGTGAAATAGACTCATTTCTTAGCTCAAGAAAATCCCTATGCCTAGATCATTCTTCCTAAGTATATATTAAGGATGAATCAAATCACACCTTCAGAAGTGCCAGTTCCCAGGTGAAGGAAGACAGGAGACTCAGCTCCTTTCTTAGACACTGCAATGCTGCTTCTAGTGACAGGTGATCATTTCCCAACACACACCCAGCACAATTTCAGGCCGGCACAGATTGTTTTCTTGTGTTGTTGTATCTAGATTCAGATGTCTGCAATGCTCATATGGGGCTGTTCATTTACTTAACTTGTATTGGAACAACTACTGGGTGCTCTACATGGTGTCGGGTACTGAGAATTTAACAGTGATCTAGACAAAATATCTACTCTTGTAAGTTTATATTTTAATGCAATATATACATTACTTTCTAGACAGAAAATTTTCATGAAAAACAATAAATAAGATGTTTACATATTGTATAAATGTTTTAGAGAAAGGGAGGCTGTGTCAGAAATGAACCTGGGATTTAGCTTTGAAGAGGGTAGGTTGGTGAGGGAAGTTCCCTCTGAAGAAGTAGTTTCAACGGAAATTTCAAAGATGGGAATGCAGCAGCCATGCTAACAAGCAAGGGGAGAGCATTCTGAGCAGGTAAGTATCAAAGCCCTGAGCTATACAGGTCATGGGTGTCGAAGGATCACAAATAAGACCACGTATGAGAGAAGTACAAGGTGATATTGGAGAAGAAGCAAGAGATAAGGTCTTAGGGGGTGAGCTGTTTAGATTTTGTCTTAAGGGCTATGTGAAGTCAGTGACGGTTCTTAAACAGAGGAGAGAGATGATGTGATTCACATAGAGAGTGAAATGAGGATAAATGGCATGAGGTCAAAGACCAGGAAATCTCAGTTGTCTGGGGAAGGGGTGGTGGTGAGTTGGACTAGGGTAAAGAAAAGAGAGTAAAGACAGAGTGGGGAGGTCAGGGAGGACACGCTCCCTAAGCAATCACCTGGTCACCTGACTTTAGGAGATGGAAGCAGCAGTAATTGATAATCCGTAGGCATGAGAAATAAGCAATGCCAGGTTTGGGGTTTGAGCAACTAGTGGTGCTATTGATTGAGAAAGGTAACATGAAGGGTTAAACAATGGTATCTATGAAGACCTCATTTTTACACGTTAAACTGGAGAGAAGAACTAGACATGCAAATGAAGACATCAATGAGGCAATTGTTTATTCAAGTCTGGAATGGGGACAAGAAATCTATAATTATGAATTTAAAAATCAAGAAATACTTAAATCCATGACACTAAAGCCTTCAAGAAAGACAACAGACACCTGGATGTGTGTACCAATTGAGATAAGTGCACAGCATGGTACATAATTTGATGACCATTGATATTCTTAACTCAGCCCCAGGCCCTAGAATGTCCTTATCCCAGGTGTATAAATGATTAGTCTACCCTATTTTTCAGGCTTCTTTTTGTTACCTTTAGTACTTTGCTGTGTGCACACGAGTGAGTGTGTGTGTGTGTGCGCGCTGCTCATTATCCTGGCAGTCAAACCCCTAAAGTTGTGTTCTGGGAGAGGAAGACAGTGGTTATAGTCTCAGCTTCATTATTTCAAGGGCTCTGTGGGAATGTTTCTTCTCTCTGCCTCCTACCCACAGGCCCCTGCAGTAAGGATGGGTAGGACATGGTCGGATCCCTGGCCACTTGCTGAGTGATCACCTGTGCATGAGGACACACCCCCTAAGAAATCACCTGGTCCTAAGCATTTCACTGTGTTATGAAAACTACTCAAAGCCAATTGGATGCAGACATGTGTTCCTCATCTCACTGTCTCATCTCTGGGTAGGGCTCATGTCCTATGCTTCAGTTCTTCAGGATGTATTATGTGGAAGTTCCTCTGACGAAAGACAATCATGATCCACAAGACCCAGCCTCTCTTTCTTGTTCCTCATTCACCCCTTTACCCAAGGAGAACTGGGCCATTTTCACTCCTTCTCCTAATCTTCTCCTACTTTCTCAACTGGGGCAATGAGAGAAGAAAGTTTTAAACCCTGGGAATCCTGGGGAACAATACCTGGTGATTGGATGGTTCTATACTTTGCAGA